GGGACCACCAGACGTTTCAAATTTTAGTTGTAGCCCTAAACTGGCATACCTGATTTCATTACGCAACTATCACCAAGCCCTTGACTAATGGAATCAGGTATGCCAGTTCAGGCCTACAACAAAATGATGTGAAATGTCTGGTGGTCCCCGAGGAGAGGGTTGGGAAGTAATGGTTTAGATTACTTTGAAAACCTAATCACTGTCATTATTTCTGCAGACAAATTAGATTTAGTCGAGCCTGAGACTCTGCCCAGTGATTGGAGCCTGTGGTGCTGATGAAAGCTAACTGTTGAGTCTATTGTCCTCAGCCCTGGTGCCTAGACAAAAGGGTTCGAAAATAGTTATTTGGCTGTCCCCATAGGAGAACCCTTTTTGGTTTCAGGTAGAACCCTTCTGGGTTGCAACTAGAACCCTCTGTGGAAAGGGTTCTTCATGGAACCCAAAAGGGTTCTACCTGGTGCCAAAAAGGGTTCTTCAAAGGGTTCTCCTATTGGGACAGCCGAATAACCATTTTAGGTTCTAGATAGCACCTTTTTTTCAAAGAGTGTATTGATCTATTGATCTTGCAGAGTTAAGTCAATCTAATGATTTAATTGGTGACAGTAAAGCATAAATGCATTTAGTAAAACTAAATGCATGCTCTTCAATCGAACGCTGCTGGCACCCGCCCACCCGACTAGAATCACTACTCTCGACGGGTCTGACCTAGAGTATGTGGACAACTACAAATACCTAGGTCTCTGGTTAGACTGTAAACTCTCCTTCCAGACTCACATTAAGAATCTCCAATCCAAAGTTAAATCTAGAATCGGCTTCCTATTTCGCAACAAAGCCTCCTTCACTCATGCTGCCAAAAATGCCCTCGTAAAACTGACTATCCTACCGGTCCTTGACTTCGGCGATGTCATTTACAAAATAGCCTCCAACACTCTACTCAGCAAATTGGATGTAGTCTATCACAGTGCCATCCGTTTTGTCACCAAAGCCCCATATACTACCCACCACTGTGACCTGTACGCACTTGTTGGCTGGTCCTCACTACATGTTCGTCGTCAAGCCCACTGGCTCCAGGCCATCTATAAATCACTGCTAGGCAAATCCCTGCCTTATCTTAGCTCATTGGTCCCCATAGCAGCACCCACCCGTAGTCTGCGCTCCAGCAGGTATATCTCACTGGTCATCCCCAAAGCCAACACCTCCTTTGGCCGCCATTCCTTCCAGTTCTCTGCTGCCAATGACTGGAACGAATTGCAAAAATCTCTGAAGCTGGAGACTCTTGTCTCCCTCACTAACTTTAAGCATCAGTTGTCAGAGCACCTTACCGATCACTGCACCTGTACACAGCCCATCTGAAATTAGCCCACCCAACTACCTCATCCCTATATTGTTATTTATTTTGCTCTTTTGCACCCCAGTATCTCTATTTGCACATAATCTCTTGCACATCTATCATTCCAGTGTTAATACTAATTGTAATTATTTTGCACTATGGCCTATTTATTGCCTTACCTCCATAACTTGCTACATTTGCACACATTGTATATATATTTTCTGTTGTATTTTTGACTATGTTTTGTTTACCCCATATGTAACTCTGTGTTGTTGTTTTTATCGCACTGCTTTGCTTTATCTTGGCCAGGTCGCAGTTGTAAATGAGAACTTGTTCTCAACTGGCTTACCTGGTTAAATAAAGGTGGAGGAAAAAAAAAAAAACATCTAGAGCAACAGACCAGACCATACTGTATGTCCTGAGGAATAATATACAGTGAGGGAAAAAAGTATTTGATCCCCTGCTGATTTTGTACGTTTGCCCACTAACAAAGAAATGATCAGTCTATAATTTTTAATGCTAGGTTTATTTGAACAGTGAAATCCAGAAAAACGCATGTCAAAAATGTTATAAATTGATTTGCATTTTAATGAGGGAAATAAGTATTTGACCCCCTCTCAATCAGAAAGATTTCTGGCTCCCAGGTGTCTTTTATACAGGTAACGAGCTGAGATAAGGAGCACACTCTTAAAGGGAGTGCTCCTAATCTCAGCTTGTTACCTGTATAAAAGACACCTGTCCACAGAAGCAATCAATCAATCAGATTCCAAACACTCCACCATGGCCAAGACCAAAGAGCTCTCCAAGGATGTCAAGGACAAGATTGTAGACCTACACAAGGCTGGAATGTGCTACAAGACCATCGCCAAGCAGCTTGGTGAGAAGGTGACAACAGTTGGTGCGATTATTCGCAAATGGAAGAAACACAAAATAACTGTCAATCTCCCTCGGCCTGGGGCTCCATGCAAGATCTCACCTCGTGGAGTTGCAATAATCATGAGAACGGTGAGGAATCAGCCCAGAACTACACAGGAGGATCTTGTCAATGATCTCAAGGCAGCTGGGACCATAGTCACCAAGAAAACAATTGGTAACACACTACGCCGAGAAGGACTGAAATCCTGCAGCGACCGCAAGGTCCCCCTGCTCAAGAAAGCACATATACAGGGCCGTCTGAAGTTTGCCAATGATTCAGAGGAGAACTGGGTGAAAGTGTTGTGGTCAGATGAGACCAAAATCGAGCTCGTTGGCATCAACTCAACTCGCCGTGTTTGGAGGAGGAGGAATGCTGCCTATGACCCTAAGAACACCATCCCCACCATCAAACATGGAGGTGGAAACATTATGCTTTGGGGGTGTTTTTCTGCTAAGGGCACAGGACAACTTCACCGCATCAAAGGGACAATGGACGGGCCATGTACCGTCAAAGCTTGGGTGAGAACCTCCTTCCCTCAGCCAGGGCATTGAAAATGGGTCATGGATGAGTATTCCAGCATGACAATGACCCAAAACACACGGCCAAGGCAACAAATGAGTGGCTCAAGAAGAAGCACATTAAGGTCCTGGAGTGGCCTAGCCAGTCTCCAGACCTTAATCCCATAGAAAATCTGTGGAGGGAGCTGAAGGTTCGAGTTGCCAAACGTCAGCCTCGAAACCTTAATGACTTGGAGAAGATCTGCAAAGAGGAGTGGAACAAAATCCCTCCTGAGATGTGTGCAAACCTGGTGGCCAACTACAAGAAACGTCTGACCTCTGTGATTGCCAACAAGGGTTTTGCCACCAAGTACTAAGTCATGTTTTGCAGAGAGGTCAAATACTTATTTCCCTCATTAAAATGCAAATCAATTTATAACATTTTTGACATGCGTTTTTCTGGATTTTTTTGTTGTTATTCTGTCTCTCACTGTTCAAATAAACCTACCATTAAAATTATAGACTGATCATGTCTTTGTCAGTGGGCAAACGTACAAAATCAGCAGGGGATCAAATACTTTTTTCCCTCACTGTACCAACTTGATTTAATGAGTGACCATCATACTAATACTGTAGCCTGCATATATTATTTGACTGTAATGAAATGCAAATGAACAAGTAGGCTAAAATAACTGCCATTGGAAATAGTGAGGTTTGTGGTTCCAAAGGTTGTGTTTTTTCTTTCAGATTTGTGTTGGACTTGGATCTCTCCAGAATAGTTATTGCCATCTAGACTTTAAGCCCCAGAGAAAAACTGTCTTATACATAGACCAAGTAATAATCATTTTATGTGGATTATTTAGGTTTTACAGTGCATTCGGGAAGTATTCAGACCCCTTTTTCCACATTTTGTTATGTTACAGCCTTATTCTAAAACGGATTAACATTTTTCTTCTTCTCATCAATCTACACGGAATACCCCATAATGACTAAGCGAAAACAGGTTTTTAGAAATGTTTTGCAAATGTATTATAAATTAAAAGTATTCAGACCCTTTGCTATGAGACTCGAAATTGAGCTCAGGTGCATCCTGTTTCCATTGATCATCCTTCAGATGTTTCTACAACTTGATTGGAGTGCACCTGTGGTAAATTCAATTGATTGGACATGATTGGACATGATTTGGAAAGGCACACACCAGAGCCCGGAAACCTGGCACCATCCCTACGGTGAAGCATGGTGGTGGCAGCATCATGCTGTGGGGATGTTTTTCAGTGGCAGGGAGACTAGTCAGGATCGAGGGAAAGATGAACGGAGCAAAGTACAGAGAGATCCTTGATGAAAACCTGCTCCAGAGCACTCAGGACCTCAGACTGGGGTGAAGGTTCACCTTCCAACAGGACAACGACCCTAAGCACACAGCCAAGACAACGTAGGAGTGGCTTTGGGACAAGTCTCTGAATGTCCTTGATCGGCCCAGCCAGAGCCCGTACTTGAACCCAATCGAAAATCTCTGGAGTGACCTGAAAATAGCTGTGCAGCGACGCTTCCCATCCAACCTGACAGAGCTTGAGAGGATCTGCAGAGAAGAATGGGAGAAACTCCCCAAATACAGGTGTGCCAAGGTTGTAGTGTCATACCCAAGAAGACTCGAGGCTGTAATCACTGCCTAAGGTGCTTCAACAAAGTACAGAGTAAAGGGTCTGAATACTGATGTAAATGTGATATTAAATAATAATAATAATAAATAATAAATAAAAATCTAAAAACCTGTTTTTGCTTTGTCATTATGTGGTATTGTGTGTAGATTGATGAGGGGTGGGGTGGGGGGGGGGACTATTTAATCAATTTTAGAATAAGGCTGTAACATAACAAAATGTGGAAAAAGTTAAGGGGTCTGAATACTTTCCGAATGCACTGTAGGTTGCATTTCTATAACTACCTGGCATAAGGCAAAATAACCTATTTAATTTCAGCGGTCTGGGAAAATAGAACTCCAGGGCAGTGAAAGGAACGCAAGAAAGTCAGGAAAACCGCGCGCCCATTGGCTGCTGGAGCGCAGTATAAAGTGCCGCAGTGTTGACTCTCATCACATCAACTGCAAGCATCCTTCTAAGACTAGACCACACTTCGGAATAGGCTACGGTGCTCTACTGGTACCAAGGTTTTGGAATAGGCTACGGTGGCTCTACTGATACCAAGGTTTTGCGTTTTTACCCTTTTACTTTAAAGTATTGTGTTCTTGATTGTTACAAATATGAAGGAAAGGAGAAATCCGCAGCCGTTGGTGGTGAGATGTAAACTGGTTCTTGTTGGGGATGTTCAGTGTGGAAAAACTGCGATGTTGCAAGTCCTCGCGAAGGATTGTTATCCAGAGGTATGCGAATATTTGTTCTCCTGTTGCAATACTGACATTTTAAGATACAAATTCTATATGTTCTGCAAAGCTTCCATAATGATTCAGCACATGTTTCTCTGGATTTGATCAGCCTAATAAATGGCTTTTGAAAGTTACCAATAAACTGACGATGGATTCATTTCTAATGGAGCATCTTCCGCTTCGGCCAGGCTGCCTTTAGCTGCTACATGATGCGCATTTCCAATAATTCACAGCTTTCACATTGGATTATATCATATTTTCTACTGTAGGCTTCTGATCATCACATCACATTGAAATTGGTTTTATAAGCCAGATAGGATCATGCATCATTTTTTCCATTCATTTTAATTTTTTATTGGTCTAGCCTGCTAATTAGTTTACACTCAAATGTTTACTATTTTCACATTAGAAGACTGTATTTCATTTTAATGTAATTATGAAAATAAATCCCATCAGTGGTAACAGGGAGGATATTGACAGACTGTTATGTTGTTCCTCTCCTCAGACCTATGTGCCCACGGTGTTTGAGAACTACACAGCGTGTCTGGAACTAGAGGAGCAGCGCGTGGAGCTCAGTCTGTGGGACACGTCAGGTAACTACAACCTCCCATCCTATATCATCATCCGATATCCACTATCAGTGGTTCAGGGGTACTCCGGGCTGAGCAAAACGAACTTGGTGGTACATTAAACATTTTGAGAATCATTGATCTATATGAACTGCGCCACAGTGGCCTACATTATGCCTAGCTTTTTGTAGCCCAAAGTAAAACCTTGTTGAGGGGCCCTCCTTCCAGCTTCGCTTTTGAGAACAGAATATATAACATTTGGTATTGTGTACTATGTCATTATTTGGCTCGCTTCCAAGGTACTTGAAGGTAACCTTTGACCCTGCTATGCACTGATGCATTACTGACTGTAGAATACACTACTGTGCATTATGACTGTATCATAGCAATGCCTGAAAACAAATTCAGTCCCATCATTTTGTTCCACAATATTTATCTGTCTATGTAGCCTACTGACACTCACTGTGTAGCCTGCAGTATGTTATCATGCTAACTACACTGTATATGATGCTAACTGAGTGAGTACACTGTAGATTACAGTATGAAATGCTAACTGAGTGAGTACACTACAGAATACAGTATTTTATGCTAACTGAGTGAGTACACTGTATATTACAGTATGCTATGCTAATTTAGTTAGTACACTGTAGATTACAGTATGTTATGCTAACTTAGTGAGTACACTGTATATTACAGTATGTTATGCTAACTGAGTGAGTACACTGTATATTACAGTATGCTATGCTAATTTAGTTAGTACACTGTAGATTACAGTATGTTTTGCTAATTTAGTGCAGCATAGAGTCATGGTGTCGGTGTAAAAGCTCCCCAGGGCCCTCCACTCTAAACCACTGACTTGAAAACAACTGACTAACGATTAACCTGGATCTGCCCTGCCAAGCTGCACCTGTTCATATCCCGCCATGCTGCTGCCCTCCCTCCCTGACACACACACACTCACACACACACTCACACTCACACTCACACTCACTCACACACACACACACACACACACACACACACACACACACACACACACACACACTCACACTCACGCTCACGCACACGCACACGCACACGCTCACACACACACTCACACACACTCACACACACACACTCACACTCACACTCACACTCACACTCACGCTCACACTCACACTCACACTCACACTCACACACACACACACACACACACACACACACACACACATTGTTTCAGAGTGATTGAGAGTATTTTAAATGGACTTGCTGATACCAGGCTTTGTATTGTCAAGATTTATTATAAGATGATTAGGCTAAACTGTACGATACATACATTCATTACATTTTACATTTTAGTCATTTAGCAGACGCTCTTATCCAGAGCGACTTACAGTTAGTGAATACATATTATTATTATTATTAATTTTTTTTTATACTGGCCCCCTGTGGGAAACGAACCCACAACCCTGGCGTTGCAAACGCCATGCTCTATCAACTGAGCTACATCCCTGCCGGCCATTCCCTCCCCTACCCTGGACGACGCTGGGCCAATTGTGCGCCGCCCACATTCAATTGATATATGCATCTATATTACAGTACACAGACATTTTTTGCTGAATAGACAATCTGCATTATGCTAGTAAAACATTGCAACATCATTAAGAAATTATAGAACATGTCAAATGATTCCATTGCTGTACACATTCATAGGGAAGCAGGGGATATGAGGAATACATAGGTTGGGGTGAATTCCATTTAAATTCAGGAAATAAAGTGAAATTCAAATGTTCCTAATTGAAAACAATTGGAATTTCAGTTTACTTCCTGAATTGACTGAATTGAAATGGAATTGGCTGAAATCCGCAGAATATCAGACCGAATACCACGGGTATGACAAAAAATTACTATTTACTGGTCTAATTACGTTGGTAACCAGTTTATAATAGCAATAAGGCACCTCGGGGTTTGTGGTAAATGGCCAATATACCACGGCTAAGGGCTGTATCTAGGCTGTACTCCACGTTGAGTCGTGTAAGAACAGCCCTTAGCCGGGGTATATTGGCCATATACCACACCTCCTCATGCCTTATTGCTTAACTATAATATATAATATAATACACCCCAAAGTAGACTGCGTCCCTGCCCCTCCACCACCTGTATGTTCCAATATTCACACTAGTATACCTTTTAGAATGTATGTCCACAATGCATTGCTTCATACTATGTATTAGGCTAGTGTGGATATTGGAACAGGCCTATCCCACTGTCCTCTTCTTATCTCCTTCCCTCCAGACCACTTTCCACTTCGACCCACCACTGCAGGCGTTGGCTAATGATTGAGTTCAGCCCCAGCCATGATAGGAATGGTGACAATTTTTCCCTTTTTATTTTGTATTTTTTCTTCTTACTGTATACTCCCCATCCATGTTTCATGAATCAGAAAGTCTGTTGTAGTGAGGAAAGAGGCAGAGGGGAATAGAAAGGCATCTGGTTGTACGACAGAGAGAGAACATGTGGCCCATAGCTAGGAGATATATTGTCAGTGGTGTGTCTGCTCTCTCACACATGCCTGGAGAAAAGTTGACCATCTCAAGAACATCGTTAATAGGATATAGCAGTCTTCTGACGGTTGCCAAAAAAAGACGACCTCCACACCCAGTGTTGTAGGGTGTGTGGCATTGTGAGCCTGAGAGGATAGCTCTACTGTGTTGTGTCAGCCTGTAGCCTGAGAGGATAGCTCCACTGTGTTGTGTCAGCCTGTAGCCTGAGAGGATAGCTCCATTGTGTTGTGTCAGCCTGTAGCCTGAGAGGATAGCTCCACTGTGTTGTGTCAGCCTGTAGCCTGAGAGGATAGCTCCACTGTGTTGTGTCAGCCTGTAGCCTGAGGATAGCTCCACTGTGTTGTGTCAGCCTGTAGCCTGAGAGGATAGCTCCACTGTGTTGTGTCAGCCTGTAGCCTGAGAGGATAGCTCCACTGTGTTGTGTCAGCCTGTAGCCTGAGATGATAGCTCCACTGTGTTGTGTCAGCCTGTAGCCTGAGAGGATAGCTCCACTGTGTTGTGTCAGCCTGTAGCCTGAGAGGATAGTTCCACTGTGCTGTGTCAGCCTGTAGCCTGAGGATAGTTCCACTGTGTTGTGTCAGCCTGTAGCCTGAGGATAGCTCCACTGTGTTGTGTCAGCCTGTAGCCTGAGAGGATAGCTCCACTGTGTTGTGTCAGCCTGTAGCCTGAGACGATAGCTCCACTGTGTTGTGTCAGCCTGTAGCCTGAGAGGATAGCTCCACTGTGTTGTGTCAGCCTGTAGTCTGAGAGGATAGCTCCACTGTGTTGTGTCAGCCTGTAGCCTGAGAGGATAGCTCCAATGTGTTGTGTCAGCCTGTAGTCTGAGAGGATTGCTCCACTGTGTTGTGTCAGCCTGTAGCCTGAGAGGATAGTTCCACTGTGTTGTGTCAGCCTGTAGCCTGAGAGGATAGTTCCACTGTGTTGTGTCAGCCTGTAGCCTGAGGATAGCTCCACTGTGTTGTGTCAGCCTGTAGCCTGAGAGGATAGTTCCACTGTGTTGTGTCAGCCTGTAGCAGAGCAGAGGCTGTCAGAGAGGAGGGAAAAGTGGCACTTCTGTGACGTCAGGCTGTGGGTGGTGAAGGATTAATGGTAGTGGAGGTCTCACTGTGATCTGCCACTGACAGACACACTCCTTCTTCCTCCCTCCATCCATCCATCCATCCCTCCTAACTCCCTCTCTCTCCATCACTCTTTTTCCCTCCTTCCCTCCATCCCTCTCTCTATCCCTCCTCCTCCAAACCCACCCATCCACCCACCTGTCCTCCCTCCCTCCTCCAGTTACTGGGGACAGGATACCTAGGCTTTAGCTCAGCGGCTAATACAGTCTTTCTGCACACGAGACCTAGGTTCAAACCTCAGTTGGTCATAACAACAGGTCATTCCTTAGGACATTTCTCTCCTCCTTCTCCTCCCTTTCTCCAGAGTAATTAGTCAGTATTGAATTGAAATGGCTCCCCGGCCCCCTGTGTGCATCATGTCCATCGGTTGGTGCATTTAGATCAGTGGCCGTTTAATGCAGAGTCACACCCTGGGCTCCTCAGCCCATGGCTGGCCTTCTTCTCCCTGACCATATGGGACGGACACACACACACACACACACACACACACACACACACACACACACACACGCACACCACACACACCACACACACACACACACACACACACACACCACACCACACCACACCAAACCACACCACACCACCACACACCACACACCACACACACACACCACACACCACACACACACCACACACCACACACCACACACACACACACACACACACACACACACACACACACACACACACACACACAACACAACACAACACACACACACACACCTCTTAATATTCCCTGGGAGGCAGAGGGATGCTAAGCTAGCCACCTCCATGCAGACACCGACTGGCACACTGATCATGATAATGATAATCGCCCCTCTCCCCTGCATTAGTTCATTTGTCTGATATTATTAGTGTGTCTGTTCTAAATGATATTATAAACTGGGTGGTTCGAGCCCTGAATGCTGATTGGCTGAAAGACGAGGTATATCAGACCGTATACCATGGGTGTGAATAAAAAAATCACTTTTTAATTTTAAATCTGCTAAATGACTAAAATGTAAATGTAAATGCATAAGGCACCTCAGGGATTTGTGGTATATGGCCAATATACCACGGCTAACGGCTGTCACACCCTGGCTCTGGGGACTCTATATTTTGAGCCAGGGTGTGTAGTTTCTATGTGTTTGTGTTTCTATGTCGTGTTCTAGTATTGTATTTCTATGTTGGCCAGTGTGGTTCTCAATCAGAGGCAACGAGTGTCAGCTGTGGCTGGTTGTCTCTGATTGGGAACCATATTTAAACAGTCTGTTTTCCATTCGTGTTTGTGGGATCTTGTTTCCGTTTGGTTTGTTCCTTTTTGGTTATGTTAAACCGTAGGACTGCACGTTTCGTTTTGTTGTTTTGTTGTTCCTATTATCACTGAAGATAATAAAGATTAAATATGTTTGTTCATCACGCTGCGCCTTGGTCTACTCCATACGACGATCGTGACAGAAGATCCCACCATACTAGGACCAAGCAGCGTGTCCAGGAGCAGGCAGACTGGACATGGGAGGAAGCGCCGGGAAAGGAGCTGGAGAGGTTGGCGATGGCCCAGGTGGGCAAAGTGTGGTCCTGGGAGGACATGCTCGGGGGAAAAGGGCCATGGGCTAGGATTAAGGCCCTGGCGAGAGAGGAGCAACGGTGTCAACAGTGTCGTCGTCGGACGGACGAGAGGCAACCCCAACATTTTTTTAGGGGGGGGGGCACACGGCATGGGCGGCTGGGCAGCAGGAGGCTGCCACAGGGCGATTTGGGAGATTTGGAGAGGAGGCCACCGGGTTTGGGGGGCCAGAAGGCAGGTTGGCGGAGCCTGGATGGAGAGCAGAGCCAAACTCCCCGTACTCAGGCATGGCAGCATGGGACTGGGCAGGTTCCGCGGTATGCGGAGCTGCGAACTGTGCCACGAGTGGTCCGGCATAGTCCGGTACGTCCTGTGCGAGCACCCAGCACGTGTCGTGCGAAGGTGGGCATGCAGCCAGGACGGAGGGTGCCGGCTCAGCGCTCGTGGTCTCCAGTGCCTCTCCTCAGTCCCGGATATCCTGCGCCAGTGTCACGTGCTGTTATGCCAGTACGGGTACACAGCCCTGTACGTCCTGTGCGGATGCCTCACACAGAGTGTGTGAAGGTAGGCATTCAGCCAGGACGGGTTGTGGCAGCTCTTCACTCCAGGTCTCCTATCCGTCTCCACAGCCCGGCCCGGCCTGTTCCTGCTCCTCGCACCAAGCCTCCGGTGCGCATCGCCAGCCCAGCCCGGCCTGTTCCTGCCCCTCGCACCAAGCCTACGGTGTGCGTTGCCAGCCCGGCCCGGCCTGTTCCTGCCACTCGCACCAAGCCTACGGTGCGCATCGCCAGCCCGGCCCGGCCTGTTCCTGCTACTCGCACAAAGCCTACGGTGCGCGTCGCCAGCCCGGCCCGGCCTGTTCCTGCCACTCGCACCAAGCCTACGGTGCGCGTCGCCAGCCCGGCCCGGCCTGTTCCTGCTACTCGCACCAAGCCTACGGTGCGCGTCGCCAGCCCGGCCCGGCCTGTTCCTGCCACTCGCACCAAGCCAGGGGTGCGAGTCGTCAGCCTGGTAAGGCCCGTTTCTGCTCCACGCACCAAGCCAGGGGTGCGTATCGTCAGCCCGGTCCGGCCCGTTGCTGCTCCACGCACCAAGCCAGGGGTGCGCATCGTCAGCCCGGTCCGGCCCGTTGCTGCTCCACGCACCAAGCCAGGGGTGCATATCGTCAGCCCGGTCCGGCCCGTTGCTGCTCCACGCACCAAGCCAGGGGTGCGCATCGTCAGCCCGGTCCGGTCCGTTCCTGCTCCACGCACCAAGCCAGGGGTGCGTATCGTCAGCCCGGTCCGGCCCGTTGCTGCTCCACGCACCAAGCCAGGGGTGCGCATCGTCAGCCCGGTCCGGTCCGTTCCTGCTCCACGCACCAAGCCAGGTGTGCGCGTCGTCAGTCCGGCACAACCCGTGCCTGGGTCACCGGTGCCTGATCAGGTACCGGTCAGCGGCTCCACAACGGAGCTTAAGCAATCCGCTCCATCGATGTCCAGTCCAGCTCCAGCCAGCGGGGCCAGACCGGACCAGGGGCGCTACGGGGGGATTATTGAAGGGTGGTGGTCAAGCCCGGAGCCGGAACGCCTCCGAGGAGGAACGCCCACCCAGCCCTCCCCTGTTTGGGTTTTGTTGAGGCGCGGTCGCAGTCCGCGCCTTTGGGGGGGGGGTACTGTCACACCCTGGCTCTGGGGACTCTATATTTTGAGCCAGGGTGTGTAGTTTCTATGTGTTTGTGTTTCTATGTCGTGTTCTAGTATTGTATTTCTATGTTGGCCAGTGTGGTTCTCAATCAGAGGCAACGAGTGTCAGCTGTGGCTGGTTGTCTCTGATTGGGAACCATATTTAAACAGTCTGTTTTCCATTCGTGTTCGTGGGATCTTGTTTCCGTTTGGTTTGTTCCTTTTTGGTTATGTTAAACCATAGGACTGCACGTTTCGTTTTGTTGTTTTGTTGTTCCTATTATCACTGAAGATAATAAAGATTAAATATGTTCGTTCATCACGCTGCGCCTTGGTCTACTCCATACGACGATCGTGACAACGGCTGTATCCAGGCATTCCGTGTTGTGTCGTGCTTAAGAACAGCCCTTACACATGGTATATTGGCCATATACCACACCCCCTTGTGCCTTATTGCTTAAATATAGGACTGATAATGTAATAATTTCATAATGTAGTAATGCCATAATGTAATAATTGTATAATGCCACAATGCCATAATGTGATAATGCCATAATGTAATAATGCCATAATGTGATAATGCCATAATGTCATATCATCCTAACATAGGGTTGATAGACTGACTGTGTTTCCTGTAGATGATCCAGGTCCACTAGATGATGTTTGAATCTGTTTGATATTGTTCAGGACAGGTAGCTCAGACTACATGCTCTCTCCATCACTCATTGGCCAGGAGTGAGCTGACAATACACCTTTAGGATGAAAGCTGTCTTTTCTAAATGCATAGATCCAGACAGACGTGCATCCTGATGCAACAAAGCTAGTCCTATTGTTCCTGTACAGTAACTTCTCTGTTGACATTCAGAACATGGAACTACTCAGATATTCTACCACAGCTTGTCATTATTCCACACAGCAGCTGGTTCATTCAATCTGACCCTTTGATAATGTGGAGAATCCTTGGCTATTTATTTACTGATCTGTATGCAGACACACATGTTGTTTTGTTTTGGAGGCGGTGGTACAGTACCTTTTTCCTGTGTTGTTCTGTACATTACATTGTAAATCAATTAGCTTGGTTATGTAATATGTAATGAATGGTGACGTTGTCGGCTAGTGTGCTATACACTGAGTGTACAAAACATTAAGAACACCTGCTCTTTCCATGACATACACTGACCAGGTGAATCCAGGGGAAAGCTATGATCCCTTATTGACGTCACTTGTTAAATCCACTTCAAATCAGTGTAGATGAAGGGGAGGAGACAGGTTAAAGAAGGATTTGTAAGCCTTGAGACAATTAAGACATGGATTGTGTATATGTGCCATTCAGAGGGTGAATGGGCAAGACAAAATATTTAAGTGCCTTTGAACAGGGTATGGTAGTAGGTGGCAGGTGCACCAGTTTGTGTCAAGATCAGCAACGCTGCTGGGTTTTTAACGCTCAACAGTTTCCTGTGTTTATCAAGAATGGTCCACTACCCAAAGGACATCCAGCCAACTTGACACAACTGTGGGAAGCATTGGAGTCAACATGGGCCAGCATCCCTGTGGAACGCTTTCGACACCTTGTAGAGTCCATGCGCCGACGAATCAAGGCTGTTCTGAGGGCAAAAAGGGGGGTGCAACTCAATATTAGGAAGGTGTTCTTAATGTTTGGTATACTCAGTGTATATGGTGTACATAACCATAACGGGAAAGATAGATAGATTGTACCCATTAGAGACCCATTGGAAGTTATTTTTAATCAGCAGTAACATGATTATCCCTCTAAGCCTCTTATTTATAATTAGATGAAGATATGAGAATCACCTTCCACTAAGGCCAAATATAATCAATAAACGAGAGTGAGAGGAGACTCAGGTAACCAAGGTGTGTGTTTGTGACTGTGTGTCTGTGACTGTGTGTTTGTGACTGTGTGTCTGTGACTGTGTGTTTGTGACTGTGTGACTGTGTGTTTGTGACTGTGTGTCTGTGACTGTGTGTTTGAGACTGTGTGCATGAGGCTGTGTGCGTGTGTGACTGAGTGTGCCTGCATACGTGTTTGCGTGCGTTTTCATGCATGTGTGTGCACCCCCCCCAACATTGTTTTAACAGAGAATTGTGTAGAGCGGTAGCTAGGTAGGTAGGTGGGCAGTAGGGCAGCAGTGTGTAAAATGATTGATTGGCAGTTGCAGCCAGCCTTTAGGGAGGGGTGGGAGGAACGCTGGATGCAGATGGAGGATTCCAAGGCTGTTGCTGTGGTAACGGTAGAGGGATCGGAGGTATTACACTGTGCTGAGTGGAGGGAAGACGAGGGGGTGTGTAGAGGGGGTGAGAGGGGCGAGGGGGAGAGAGAGGGGGGTGTTGCTTGAGTATTCCGAGCACATGAGTGGGAGCGTCTGCCTGCTCTGCTGCCCCAACCAGCCTCACCGTTCTGTTCCACTTGTTTAATCCACTGATAAAAAGATACATGTGGATTTAGTGTCTTGATTGTCATCTTCTCCCACTCTGAAACACAAATACGGGAGAGGAGGATAAGATAGAAGAGAAGAGAAGAGAAGAGAAGAGAAGAGAAGAGAAGAGAAGAGAAGAGAAGAGAAGAGAAGAGAAGAGAGGAGAGGAGGGGAGGGGAGGGGAGGGGAGGGGAGGGGAGGGAGGAGAGGAGAGGAGAGGGGAAAGGGACAGCAAAGCACAGCTCAGCTCAGCATGAGAAGTGATACCCCTCAGAAATTATCCCTGGTCTCTGTCCTCTCTTTCTGTCTCTCCCTCTATGTCTATGTCTCTCTCTCTCTGTCTCTCTCACTCTCTCTGTCTCTACTGCGCTCAAATACATGTTGTTTCTTCTTGGATATGATATGTCTCGTTTATGTCTGATGTGTACTATAATTTACCCTGGACAGTATTTGGTGAGGGTGTTAGACCAAACTATTGTGTTTTACTATACGTTCTTCCCTTTATTGCATCTGAATGTTGTTCTGGACATCTGTTAACAAGTGTCTCTCCTCTCCTCTAGGTTCTCCCTACTATGAGAACGTTAGGCCTCTCTGTTACAGTGACTCTGACGCAGTGCTCCTCTGTTTCGACATCAGCCGCCCGGACACCTTCGACTGTGGGCTCAAGAAGGTAATGGCCCCCATCTCTCACTTTATCTGTCTGTCTCTCTATTTCTCTCTCTCTAAACAGTATTCATAACGGTCTGCAAGTCCTCAGAGATTCTATCTATCCAGCCATCATATGTCTCCAGCCATCAGGCTCAAATCATCTTGCTTTTATTGGGCTTTTCAAAACGGGCTATTCAAAACAGAGACTAGGCAACATATTGTTGCTTTCTAGTTTATAGAGTGCCTTGCAAAAGTATTCATCCCTCTTAGCGTACTTCCTATTTTGTTGCATTACAACCTGTAATTTGAATGGATTTTTATTTGGATTTCATGTAATGGACGTACACAAAATAGTCCAAATTGGTGAAGTGAAATAACTTGTTTCAAAAAATTCTAAAGAATAAATAACGGAAAAGTTGTGCGTGCGTATGTATTCACCCCCTTTGCTATTAAGCCCCTAAATAAGATCTGTTGCAACCAATTACCTTCAGAAGTCACATAATTAGTTAAATAAAGTCCACCTGGGTACAATCTAAGTGTCACATGATCTCAGTATATATACACCTGTTCTGAAAGGCCCCAGAGTCTGCAACACCACTAAGCAAGGGGCACCACCAAGCAAGCGGCACCCTGAATAATAATAATAATATGCCATTTAGCAGACACTTTTATCCAAAGCGACTTACAGTCATGCGTGCATACATTTTTGTGTATGGGTGGTCCCGGGGATCGAACCCACTACCTTGGCGTTTCAAGCGCCGTGCTCTACCAGCTGAGCTACAGAGGACCACTGAAGACCAAGGAGCTCTCTGAACAGGTCAGGGACAAAGTTGTGGAGAAGTACAGATCAGGGTTGGGTTAATTTTTTTTATTTGAAACTTTGAACATCCCACGGAGCACCATTAAATCCATTATTACAAAATGGAAAGAATATGGCACCACAACAAACCTGCCAAGAGAGGGCCGCCCACCAAAACTCACGGACCAGCCAAGGAGGGCATTAATCAGAGAGGCAACAAAGAGACCAAAGATAACCCTGAAGGAGCTGCAAAACTCCACAGCGGAGATTGGAGGATCTGTCCATAGGACCACTTTAAGCCGTACACTCCACAGAGCTGGGCTTTACGGAAGAGTGGCCAGAAAAAAGCCATTGCTTAAAGAAAAAAATAAGCAAACACGTTTGGTGTCTTCCAGAGATTTGAGACTGGGACGGAGGTTCACCTTCCAGCAGGACAATGACCCTAAGCATACTGCTAAAGCAACACTCGAGTGGCTTAAGGGGAAAAATGTAAATGTCTTGGAATGGCCTAGTCAAAGCCCAGAACTCAATCCAATTGAGAATCTATGGTATGACTTAAAGATTGCTATACACCAGCAGAACCCATCCAGCTTGAAGGAGCTGGAGCAGTTTTGCCTTGAAGAATGGGCAAAAATCCCAGTGGCTAGATGTGCCAAACTTATAGAGACATACCCCAAGAGACTTGCAGCTGTAATTGCTGGAAAAGGTGGCTCTACAAAGTATTGACTTGTGGTGGGGGGGGGGGGGGGGGATAGTTATGCACGCTCAAGTTTTCAGTTTTTTTGTCTTATTTCTTGTTTGTTTCACAATAGAAAATATGTTGCATCTTCAAAGTGGTAGGCATGTTGTGTAAATCAAATGATACAAACCCCCCCAAAAAATCTATTTTAATTCCAGGTTGTAAGGCAAAAAAATTGGAAAAATGCCAAGGGGGGTGAATACTTTCGCAAGCCACTGTAGCTATGTGATTTACCAGGTTCTTAGACTATTTATCTAAGTATTTATAAGGCAAACTACGTTTGTAATTTGGTAAACTACCCCAAATCGTGAATTGTTCATTATCATTATTATGAGATATTTACCCACATCATCATTATCATGTGGGTAAATATCTGCTATGTTGTCTCTCCAGTGGAAGACAGAGATTGTAGATTTCTGCCCAAGCACACGCATCCTTCTCATTGGCTGTAAGACCGACCTGCGCACAGATGTCTGCACCCTGATGGAGCTGTCCAATCAGAAACAGGTCCCCATCACCCATGAACAGGTGAGACTGAGATGACATGCCAGGGTTTTCGTTAGCCAGTAAGAGACGGCTTTTGTCCGCATATAATTTTTTTTTTTGCCGATAAATTGGCAAAATTTGCCGTCGGGCCAATTGTCCGGGAGAAGAAGAGAAAAAATCCATTGCGAAACATCAGCTTTTTAGCCTCTTCACTGATGGAAATACATTTGACTGGTCATGCTTATCGGTCTATAGGTTAATTTGCATAATTTAGTGGAATTAAATTGGCAGATGTGTACAATAGCCTATATTATGTAGGCTATCTTATTTATCACATGCGTACAGCAAACAGATACAGAGCCTTTCAGTGGAAAATCTGTTATACAGCGCTAGAGCTGTTGCTGCATCTTGTGCTGCTTTCAAAATAACTGGGAACTCTGAAAAATACCAGGTCAAATCTTGGCATCGGTGATCTTTAGGTCGGAAAGCCCCGAGTTGGAATTCCGACTTGGATTTTTCCCAGTCGGAGCTAGTTTTTTTAAAAAGTTGTCTTGAACGCACCGATGTCGGAAGTCTGAGATTTCCGAGTTCCCAGTTGTTTTGAATGCGGCATCAAAAGGCAATGGAAGGCAGGCTTCATCAGCACGTCACACACCACTTTGCAATGAGCTGGATGCAGTATGCATTTTGGAAACATATACTGAACGTTTTAATACATATTATGAGGTATGTCTTACCTTGCTTCAAAGTAGCCTATTAGATCTCTTTCTAAATTTCAAATGAATATTTTCATCTCTGTCACATGAAACCACTTGCATGTGCAGTGCCCTTTTGACAACGTTTTTTTCTTGCTAATTGCATTATGGACCACACATTCGCACGTAGCCTACTGCCTTGTGTGCATCGGTGCGTTTATAATGTGAAGAAATAGTTTATCAACCTTTTAAGCGAAACGTTCTGATCTGTTGCATCAGACTCAATACTTTTTAACCTTTCTTTTTAAATGTATCCTAGGCCTACTGGTTGGATGAATTTAGAATCTATCGTCCCACAACTGTCCCCAGAGTCTGTTTGGAATAGGCTATTTCTTTCTTGACAAGCTGACCAATAGAATAGGTAGCCTAAACGTTTTCTACTATAGTAGATCAAATCAAATGTATTGGTTACATACACATATTTAACAGATGTTATTGCGGGTGTAGCGAAATGCTTGTAAATTGACATAGCCTAGTGATTTTGCTGTTCGTTACTCGTCTTGTTGGCTGAGGAAAAGTAAATGTGGACAGTTATTCTAACATGTTCAAAGTGCACATCAGAATTCGGTAAGAAGGACTGCACATCGTTGCATCCTCGACTTGCAGGTTCTGTTACTATGAATTACCATAGTCTAAATGTGATTTCTGTCATTCTGAGCACCGTGGGTGGACACCCTAATCAGGTTACGCACCCAATTTCCTGTCAGTTTCTCAAATGTCCGGTAAACTAAAATGTTGCCGGTCAAATGTCCGGTGCCACATTTTCCTAATGGAAACCCTGACACACACACACACACACACACACACACACACACACACACACACACACACACACACACACACACACTCTGTTCAGATAGAGATGTAATCTATTGTATAGAACAGAATAAGCTCTCAGCCGCTCTCCTCTGCCCCCTCCTACCCCAGGGTTCCTCCATGGCCAAGCAGCTTGGTACTGAGGCCTACCTGGAGTGTTCAGCGTTCACCTCAGAGAAGAGTATCCACAGTGTGTTCCGTACGGCCGCTTTGGCTTGCATCAACAAGCTCCAGCCCCTCCCCAAGCCCAGCCCCACCCGATGCCTCTCCAAGAGGCTCCTCCATCTCCCCAGCCGCTCCGAGCTGCTCTCCTCCACCTTCAAGAAGGAGAAGACCAAGAGCTGCTCCGTCATGTGAGTGGAGACCCGGGACAGGGGGGGACAGGGGGTGTCGATCCCCACCAACACGCTGCTCCGATTCCCCAGAACCCCCTGACTATCTGGTTCGGGGAAGGGGGGGGGGGGTTGGTTTCATCACGATAGCTTTGTCAAGAGAAGGCTCTTCTTCCATGTTGAATCCTTCCCCACCCCCTCCTCAAAGTGAAATCAATTCAGAACAGGTGGACACCTTGTCCTGAACTACTCTTCAGTGCATATCTCATCTTTTTCAGTACTGTATCTTGGCTTTTTGATCATCAGCGAACCATTGTTCTCACCTGTTACAGTAACGGTATGCAACCATGATGGTGTGTCGACATCACTATTATTTAGGCACTTGGTGATTTGTCCAAATTGGAGAAATGTGCAACGTGTGACAAGGTTTTAACCTTGTGATGTAAAAATGCCTCTCAATACAATTAAATGCCTATTTTGCCCAAAAAAATCGAGCATGATAATATATCAGACATTACTGAAAATCGTATCTCTTCTGCACTACAGAATCAACTATAAGGTGTAGCAACATGACCAAATCGGTGGTCAAACAGTGTTTGTGCTCTTCTTGATCAAGGCCCAACGGGGGCTGACTGATTGAGAGAGGTGTGGAGAGAGGAGTGTTTGATGGGACCACAGCAAAAACAGAGGTCCATTACACGTCTCATTGTCTCGGCCGTGAAGAGAGGAGGTCTAGACGTTTAAGGGCTGATTGAGATAGAAAACAATGTGAATGTACTGGAGCTTCCAGAGATAGAAATCCAGTTCTCTCCCATCATTTGAGAATTGTCTGATGAGGAGTGCTTTGATAAAGAAGAAACCACTTCCAGGGAGTGGGGTATTGTTCTAACTGGGGCAATAGGCACAAAATGGTTTACTGCAGCTCTGTCAAGAGATCTGGTAATGGCTGCCAGGTCAGTGTTGCAATTCCCTGAGGTGATTATTTAAAGGACTGTCTGTTTGAAACTAGAAGATGCTGCTTAAAACTTGTCAGGCTGAATCCACTGGGGAAATGTGATGTCCTACTACAGGAGAAGGTGATGTAGCATCACAGTATTGGTATTTTGATAATCAACAATGATCAAACAGTACACCGTTTCTATTATAAACTGGGTGGTTCGAGCCCTGGATGCTGATTGGCTGACAGCTGTGGTATATCAGACCATATACCACAGGTATGACGAAACATTTATTTTTACTACTGTAATTACGTTGGTAACCAGTTTATAGTGGCAATAAGACTCCTCTGGGGTTTGTGATATATTGCCAATATACCACGGCTAAGGGCTGTATCCAGGCACGAAGAACAGCCCTTAGCCGTGGTATATTGGCCATATACCACACCTCCTCGGGCCTTATTGCTTAAATATATCATGCTGCTACTCCATGGACATACATACAGTATGGTAAAACAAACTGAACCATCCTTTCTGCTGTAAACTCCAGATGCTGTCCGATCTGCTTCCTCTTTCCATTCTTCTGCCCGTCAGTATGTAGGGTAACCAATGACATCTCTCGCTGTGCCACTAAAAGAGTTTTGGAATTTGAGTCTTAAGGGGAATAATGCTATTTGAAGATGTCATTGAGTCTATGCTATCAGTTGTGCAGTATCGTTGGGAGACGAGTGAGTAAAATAAATGAGACTGAGAAGAGATGATCTGGTTTTAAACACTAGGCTCCAGCCACTGTTGGCAGTATTGAAGCTTTTTCCATTGGGTTACGTTATGTGGAAGCCTCCTAACTTTTAACAATCAATGTGTGAAAAGGGCTAGGGTACATGGAAGTATTTGGGGAATTAGAAGAACAAGTCATCTAAAAACAAAACTCACAGGCTGGCCCTGTCCAAAGAAAGAATATATTTTTCCATTATTCGTTTTGGGATTTATTGTGTTTTATTTTGGTATTAAAGCTTGAATTGAATCCTTGTTTTTGTTTTAGTTGTGTGACTGAGACAGTGTTTGTTAACCTATGTAGTAAGCTGTGGATGGCCCCCATGGTAGTCAGTCAGTCAGTCACGATGACAAGAGTAGTGATTTGATTTGCACAAAGGCTCTAGTTCCTTGGTCACACACTGGAATTCTTCAGCATTGCCTAGCAACAGTAAAACACAGGAAACCAATCCAGACTCAGACTGGCTCATCGGTTGTTTCGTAGCACAGATGGGGAGTAAAGGAGTGCGTAAAGTACAAGGAGACATATCCACAGTCATTGTAACTCCAGATTCTGCTTCTACCTCAAGGGTTGATCGGAATTTGGATTCAGAATATTTCTTTATTGAGTTCCAAGTTCCAAGCTCATATAGGGGGCTCAGATCTTAGCTATAGAATCATTTCATGGATCATATCAGTTAACATGCAGCCAACCAGCCATTGTACCACACCAGCATGAAAATGTATGCACTCACTAACTGTAAGTCGCTCTGGATGAGAGCGTCTGCTAAATGACTAAAAAAATGTAAAAAGATTGTGTAGCACAGTGAGTGTGTGGTGCATTGGTGCAGTATAACTCCTAGCATGTGCTGTAACAGTTGTACACATCTTGTTTTATAATAGTTTTAAAGACATCTTTAAAGAATGTTGCAGGGAAATGTTTGATTCAAACGATGGAAGACAAATATGTTGTTGTTGATGTGAATATTTATTTGATAGCTATTATAGCTATATTTTTATTTTATTTTTTGGTTGACGTATAATTGTTTGAAATCTATTTTGGACATTGGACTTTTCTTTTGCTCTGTTAATAAAGCTTGTGACTGGCACCAGGAGCTGCTGCAGTACTTATTTACTAACTACAATGAGGGAAATGTCATACATTTTAGTTGCTTTTATGATTGAACTGACAACAAATACAGTGCCTTGCAAAAGTATTCATCCCCCTTGGCGTTTTTCCTATTTTGTTGCATTACAACCTGTAATTTAAATGGATTTTTATTTGGATTTCATGTAATGGATATACACAAAATAGTCCAAATTGGTGAAGTGAAATGAAAAAAATAACTTGTTTCAAAAAAATGCTCAAAAATAAATAACAGAAAAGTGGTGCGTACATATGTATTCACCCCCTTTGCGATGAAGCCCCTAAATAAGATCTGGTGCAACCAATGACCTTCAGAAGTCACATAATTAGTTAAATAAAGTCAACCTGTGTGCAATCTAAGTGTCACATGATCTGTCACATGATCTCAGTATATATACACCTGTTCTGAAAGGCCCCAGAGTCTGCAACACCACTAAGCAAGGGGCACCACCAAGTAAGCGGCACCATGAAGACCAAGGAGCTCTCCAAACAGGTCAGGGACAAAGTTGTGGAGAAGTACAGATCAGGGTTGGGTTAAAAAAATATAAATCCATTATAAAAAAATTTGAAAGAATATGGCACCACAACAAACCTGCCAAGAGAGGGCCACCCACCAAAACTCACGGACCAGGCAAGGAGGGCATTAATCAGAGAGGCAACAAAGAGACCAAAGATAACCCTGAAGGAGCTGCAAAACTCCACAGCGGAGGTTGGAGTATCTGTCCATAGGACCACTTTAAGCCGTACACTCCACAGAGCTGGGCTTTACGGAAGAGTCACCAGAAAAAAGCGATTGCTTAAAGAAAAAAAAAAGAAAACATGTTTGGTGTTCGCCAAAAGGCATGTGGGAGACTCCCCAAAGATATGGAAGAAAGTACTCTGGTCAGATGAGATTAAAATTGAGCTTTTTGGCCATCAAGGAAAACGCTATGTCTGGCGCAAACCTAACACCTCTCATCACCCCCGAGAACACCATCCCCACAATGAAGCATGGTGGTGGCAGTCATGCTGACTATAGACCTCAGGCTAACTGTGATTGAACACAGTGATGTGTGGCTGGGTGTGGGATTTCTGGGGTGTTTGTGTGTGTATGTGTGTGTGGACTGGGGTGTTGACTTGTGATGCTGATGAAAGCCAAGCGTGAATGAAATCTGCTGAGAGGGAAACCGCTAAATGTGACATGATGGCACCCAGTGCTCAATCACATTCATTGAACGTGAAATGCAACATGCTGACACTGAACCCATGGCCCTACTCAGCATCGCTGAGTTGTGAATCCGTGGTGATGTGCTGGTTTAGTAGTGTCTGTGCTGTGTGTGCTGATGGTGGTTTATTGATTGGGGGGGGGTGTCGTTACAGGAATTTGAGCTGATTGATGTCTCACAATAGATCATATTGAATTAGTAAATGGAAGGAGAAAAGTAAAGTCAACGTCCCAATCAAGCAAACATAAACCAGTGACAGACAAACATTAAGTGACTACTGATATGGTCGTGTTTGGTCATGTCTGCTATAGACCTCAGGCTCTTATCTGAACCACAGTGTGTGTGTGTGTGTGTGTGTGTGTGTGTGTGTGTGTGTGTGTGTGTGTGTGTGTGTGTGACTGTGTGTGTGTATGCCTGATGAAAGCCACAGGATGATTGTATCTGTCTGAGAGGCTATTGACACCGCCACAATGGACAATGATTGCACCCAGTGCTCAATCACATGTCATTGACCGTGACAATGCCAGCCACTTGACAGCTAGGCCCTATCAGTCGTGTGTGTGTGTGTGTGTGTGTGTGTGTGTGTGTGTGTGTGTGTGTGTGTGTGTGTGTGTGTGTGTCTGTGTGTGTTTTTGATGTGTGCATGTGTGTGTGTCTCAGTTCACAGGCAGGCATTAGAGTGCACTTAGATGAGCACTCAGACCGAGTGCACTCAGAACTAGAATATAATGTCACTAATGAAGGAAAAGAAGTAAGCTCCACACTGTAGTTTCCCAATCAACACACACAGTAAAAACCATGAAAGAACAAAACACTGCTGAATCCTCGTTGCCAGGAGACAGGTGGTAGCGGTGCCAACCCCAACCCGCTGCCTGGCCATGTGACCTAACAGCCTGTCTCACCATCTTATCTTGGTCCCAACATACCTAGCTCTAAGGACTCTGAGGAATCTGTGCCTTCAGGTCACATCCATCTCCATGATGTTAAAGCAACGGTGTGTCCTAACTTGAGTCGATTCATCTGTTCTTACTTGTGTATTGGCTGAATCAGAGAATATATGTTTTTTGTTGTTGTTTACCAAATAGTTTCTCTCTCTCTCTCTCTCTCTCTCTCTCTCTCTCTCTCTCTCTCTCTCTCTCTCTCTCTCTCTCTCTCTCTCTCTCTCTCTCTCTCTCTCTCTCT